AGGTAGCCGGGGAGCGTGGCCGGCAAGGTCACGCCCAAGGGGGACCGTGACGGCGTGAAGCGTGCTCCACACGTCCTTGATGAAGTCACAGTCTACGAGGAAGTGGCGGTACGTCTCGTGCGCGGGGCAGAAGAGGCACGCTTGGTCGGCCCTGTCGAGCCAGTGCAAATGTGCGCGGAACTTGACCGCGCGGAGCATCACTTGGTAGACGAAGTCGGCGTACTTGGGTAAGATAGCGTCGGGTAGCCGGAGCTCGGCTGCGGCGGCTACGGCAGCAGGCGCCTCGTAGAAGGGCATTGAATTCGTCAACCGCCGGCACGAGTGCCAACAAACAACGGCACTGCGTCCTAGTCGATCGCATCACACGTCGTCGATCGAGGGTCTCTGATTGATTTTGCGCGCTTGCGTCTGATACTCTATACGGCGCGAACGCAACAACTGTGCTACTTGTACAATACGGAGGTCCACTCCAAGCCGCTTTGCTCGCAGTCATGGTCGACTCAGAATAGCTCGATTCCACAGCCACACTAATAGTACAACAGCCAAAATCCAAGTACTATCAGCATGGACAATGCGGAAGCGCGCTATAATAGCAACTGACAACAACACCGACAACCGACAACAGTGCATTAACAGCCCAACAGCACAGAGTTGCTGATCAAGCCGAGCTCAAGATGCTCTCATCGGTGGAATTTCGTTCCAACTGACAGGACATCGATCTTGCAGACACGGTTGGGGTATCATCAGACTACAATGTCGCCTCACTAAAATCCTCTTCCGGTGAGGAGACAATTTGTGAGTGTTAGTTGCTCGCAACGCACTGGCATTGAATGGAGGCTCTGTTGAATCAGGCACTCCGCACGATACTAGTGCTCTGGACACAGTAGCTTTAGAAGTATTGCCATGAGTGATGCCCGTGATTATGGATGGGAAGATTAAAGCGTGATGTTGACCGCGGCGGCGTGCCAATGCAATCAATTGCTTTTTAACGTTTTAAAGAGCGCTCTGAATCCGTCGTCAAGCCTTGCGCGTGTTGTACGACGGCAGCGGTGACACGGCGTATTCTGCTCTGCTCTCCGTAGTGTCTATTGTCAATGTACCAACTATGGGCGATTCCATTTCAAACTTGATTTCGTCGACCAAGTGGCACCGGCGTCCTGGTGCGGTGCCTACAAGATGGCACTACGAGCTTACCGGTATTTCTTTCTGACGTGCACCAAATATATCTTGGGTCGCGCCTCGCTACTGTTGTACGGCTTGCACGTCGACGTGCCCTCGCATTCCGGGCTCTCCAGTGTCCTCTCCCAATCTACCAACTCTTGGCGATTTCGTTTTTAAATGCGAGGTCGTCGGTCGACCGCCATGCGTTGCGGCCCACGACCCAGAGAGGATTGCTTCCATCCTTTCCAAACATTTCAATTTGAAAAACATTGATTGCTTCATTGGCGCGTGCCGTGCAAACTAACGGTATACAATGGCGCGAAACACGCTGCCACACACTACTCTACCACTACGAGCTTACTCGTCGGACTCTTCCCAGTTCAACGTGCGCTCGATCGCCTTCTTCCACTGCTTCACGACCTTCTCGCGGGCTTCGGACGCCATGGAGGGTTCCCAATGGCCCGCGACCTGCCAGTTGACGCGGAGCTCGTCGACCGTCTTCCAGTAGCCAACCGCGAGACCAGCCGCATACGCGGCACCGAGCGCCGTCGTCTCGGCCACGCGCGGGCAAATCACCTTGGCGTCGAGGAGGTCGGACTGGATCTGCATGAGCGTCTTGTTGACCGTCATGCCGCCGTCAACACGGAGCGACGTGAGCTTCATGTTGGCTTCCTCCTGCATTGCATGGACGACGTCCATGACCTGGAACGCAACGGCTTCAAGCGCGGCACGCGCGAGATGCTCACGCGTCGCGTAGCCCGTGAGGCCGCAGATGACACCCCGCGCGTCATCACGCCAGTAGGGCGCGAAGAGGCCCGAGAAGGCCGGCACAAAGTAGACACCGCCATTGTCCTCGACCGCGTTGGCAAGGTCCTCAATTTCCGAGGCCTTGGAAATGATCTTGAGGTTGTCGCGGAGCCACTGGACGACCTGGCCGGCGACTGCGACCGAGCCTTCGAGAGCAAACACCGTCGGCTCGCTACCGAGCTTGTATCCGACCGTCGTCAAAAGGCCCTTGCTCGACGGAATGATCTTGGTGCCCGTGTTCATCATAAAAAAGCAACCGGTACCAAACGTGTTCTTGGCCTGGCCGGCCTCAAAGCACGTCTGGCCGAAGAGCGCGGCCTGCTGGTCGCCGAGCATACCAGCGATCGGGACGTTCGGGAGCGAGCCGTCGTCGGCGCCGTGGCCGTAGACTTCGGACGACGACCGGATTTCCGGCAAAATCGCACGCGGGATGTTGAGAAGGTCGAGGAGACCCTGGTCCCACTGCTGCGTCTCGAGCGACATCAAGTTGGTACGCGACGCGTTCGAGACGTCGGTCGCATGCACCTTGCCGTTCGTGAGCTTCCAGAGAAGGTACGTGTCGATCGTGCCAAATAGCGCATCGCCGGCTTCGGCGGCCGCGCGGAGGCCCTCGACGTGCTCGAGCAGCCACATAATCTTGACCGCCGAAAAGTACGTGGCGACGGGCAGGCCGGTGATGGCCCGGAACCGGTTGATCGTATGGTCGTGCGTCAAGTGGTGCACAATGTCAGCCGTCCGCATGTCGTGCCACACGAGCGCGTCGTGGTACGCGGCGCCCGTATGGCGGTTCCAAATGACCGACGTCTCGCGCTGGTTGGTAATACCCACGGCGGCGACGGTCGGGTTGCCCGCCTTGAGGAGCGTCTGCTTGATGCACGTGTTGACGTTGGTCCAGATCTCCTCGACGTCGTGCTGGCACCAGCCCGGGTGCGGGTAGATCTGGTTGTGCTCCATCTGGTGCGACGCGGCAATGTTGCCTTGGTGGTCGAAGAGGATGAAGCGCGTGCTCGTCGTGCCCTGGTCAATCGCGCCAACAAATGCCATGGTGAGTCGAGGAGTCCGGCGAACGAGGCAACTTGGAAAATGAGGACGCGGTAGCCTGACGCTCGGCGTATCCGGATCATTATCCGGCACCTCGTGGCGAATAACTTCAACATGGTCCAAAGGCAACTTCAAGGTGGCACTGCGGCCGACGCCGTGAAGGTAGGACGCGACGGCAGAGGTGGTCAGACTAAAATACCCTTGGCACTCGATTCTTGGGTGCACACACATGATTCTTTCATACTAGCACTGGATCGAACGTGGGTATGAAGCACGGCCCGCGAGCGCCAAGCAAGGGCGCGACGACTGCGACCTGCGATGGAAGCGGTAGCGCTATCAAATGGGTTGCTGCTGTGGGCGTCACAAAGACAGGCCGCGCGCTTGAAGTCTTGCACCAATGAAAAAGAGACATGCTGTTGATTCAACGTGTGTAGAAGCCCCTTCACTTGGCTGCACGCGTCTTGATTGGAAAGGCTGGGGGTGGCGCGCGACGGCTGTCGAGTCGACGCAAGCTAAGCGTTGCATCAACACTGCAACGCATGGCTCGTCCACGGCAGCGTACTTTATCGGCGTACACTAGACGTCGAGGAGCATACCACTATTAGCTTTTAAAGGACGTCGACGCAGCACCCCGTGCAAAAAAACGGGTTGTCGAGTGGACCAAGCGCGTCGAAACTTCACTTCAATGTGGGCTTCAAAAAGTGTGTCGTCGCGAGCATCTGGTCTTAATCGAAAGACCGATTACGATAGCGTGATTGGTCGAAAACCACGACCTGCACCCATCATGCCTTGCCGCAAGCAGACCGACGATGCGGCAGACGCCACATGGGTGCCAAGGATTATCCTTCGAGAGGATCACCCGCGGACGCGAACGCCTCCGAATGGCAAGCGAGAATTTTTGATTATTACAAGCCATTTTTTAAATTGATTTGTGCATTGTTGACGCCACCTCGAAGGTTTGGACGTGCGGCAGTGTGCCTTTAGCACGACGTGGGCGCGGCGCCAGGATGCAACCAGCCGTGGCGCGCCATCTTCTTGTGCATCTTGCGGAACATCTTGTCGCTGTCGTCGTCGCTGCGTCGGCCATGGCACTGGCCGTGGCGGTGGTGCTTCACCTTGCGCCACACGTCTTCGTGGTCGCCGCGGTGGTCCATTATCTTGTGCCACATGCCATCGCCCGAATGCCCTCCGCTGAGCGGCTCCATCGGACCACGCTCTGCGTCACGCCGGTAAGGATGCCCGAACATGCCATGATGATGGGACCCAGGCATACCATGATGATGGGGCCCTGGCATGTCATGGTGGTGTCCAAACTTGCCGTGGCGATGGCCCCAGCGTCCAAAAAAGCCGTGTGGACCGTCCGAGGGACCGTCGCACTTGCCGCGCGCGAGCATTTTGGCCAGTTTCTTCTGATACTTCATCTCAAAGTACGCTTGCATTGCCTCGGCCGCATCTTCGCTCGAGGCGCCGTTCGATGCCATCGACATCTCGCGCGACAGCTTGTGCAGTTCGTGCAGATGGTAGTTGAATTGCTCCTTGAGCGTCTGCCAGTTGGCCGTCGTGGGCTGCTCCGTGGTCGCATCTTGCTCCGTCGTCACTGGGGTAGGAGCGGGGACTTCCATATTCTTTGTTGTTGGTGCGATGCAGTGAATTGGAGTATGAGGAACGAGATATATTGTCTATGGTTGCGAGGCGTCATGGTCAGTCCAACCTATGTCGGTCAGCGATTGACCGTTGGTACAGATCTTTGGTGAGAATGTACGTCCTCGCCATCACTCGCGCCTTTTGCAGCCAATCAGGGCTGACTCCGGCAGAGGTAGGAGTGACATGCCTTTGCAGTGCCAAGGAGCGAAAGGGCACTCTCTGGTCCTTGAAGGATCCGATGACGAGGCTCCCATGACCTTCAGCGTGCATGAAGAATGCATTTATTCGGTTTGTCAACGATGCACGCCTCCGTAGCGTCAGGAGTGTAGGCGCTATCACAACGGCGCGACGCAACGCTATCTTTTCTGGCCAAGGCTGTGACGCTTTAGCGTCACCAAGCACAAGCAGAGCTATCTATACCAAAGACTCGTAGCGCTCACAACCAATGGCAAATGCAGAACTTGTGTATAGTCTGCTTTCAGCACCACGTCTGCAGGATACGAGGGCACATGAAAAGCGACTTGAACCCATCTGACTTCAACCAATGTACCGCGCGGCTTGCACGCGCTACCCAATTATATATACCGGTATGCAAGGGAACAGCAGTGGCGCGAAGCGTGCTGTTGTAAGCAATCAAGGCATTGTGTAGGACTACAAAAAGTTGCATTTCCGGATCACGTTCCGACGTATCGCCTAAAAGTCACCCGAGAAGACTTGGCCGCCCGGGTCGCTACTGTATGTGTGGCCCGAGTCCCCGTGAAACGTATGGTCGTGGTCACCGCCATCGTCGTGGCTCAGCGCAGCGCCGATCGCAACACCACCAACGAGACCCGCGGCGGCACCGACCGCCAGCCCCGTCCCGACACCAAATTGGGGTCGATCGTCGGCGACGACGACGGGCTGTTGGTGCACATACATGGGTTGTTGCACGACCAGAGGTGGATGTTGCACGTACACAGGGGCCGGTGCCGCCTCCACGACGTGCGGCGGCGGGGCGACTGGCTCGACAACGACGACGTCGCCCTCGTCCGGTCCGCTCTTGTTGCGGCACCACCACCAAATACCCACGACCACGAGAAGGACGGCGATGCCGGCTACGACGAAGACCCAGACGGGCGTCTTCTTTTTCGCGGGGGTCGGTGCAGGTGCTGGTGCTGACGAGCACACGCACGCGTCGCCCTTGATCGGAATCGCGCACGTGGCTGCGCTCGGGCAGCAGCAGGCTTGCTTGACGCCGCTGCTCAACCACGGGCCGCAGTACTTGCCAGGAAGACCCTTGTACGCGTCTTGGCATTGGCCCGTATTGGCACACTTTTGGCACGCGCTGCTCGTCGGCAGTGGAAAGACAAGGGGGGCTGGTGGAGGGGTCGGCGCGGGTGTCGGTGCGGGTGCTGGCGGGGGCGTTGGTGCGGGTGCCGGCGTTGGTGCCGGCGTTGGTGCAGGTGCTGGCGGCGGTGTCGGCTTTGCACCCGTACACAAGCACGCATCTTGCTTGAGCGGAATCGCACAGGTGGCACCAATCGGACAGCAGCAAAACTGTTTGACGCCACTGCTTAGCCAGTTGCCGCAGTACTGACCTGGTAGGCCCTTGAATGCTTGGCTGCACTGACCCGTCGTGGCGCAGACGCCGCACGTGTCTTGTGGTGTCTGGCCATAGGCGCTGATAGCCAAGAGGCCAAAAACAAGGAGCGACCAGAGTCCCATGCGGCGAAAAATCAAATGAGTGGCGCGAGTGCGGTATCTTGTTCTCGTGTCACATTTGCATTGGCAAAAATCCCCAAGGACAGCTCAAATTAGGTTGTTTCGAGGTGGATTAGGACATTCGCACCGACCCCGAAACCCAAGCCATCGACCCAAACAAAGAATTCAAATCCAACGCGCCACGCCGCCAAAACGAAAACAAATGTATCCAGCCAACCGCCCAGCTCCACGCCTCCAGAACGAAAACAAGTCAATATGCCCAGCGCCAAAACGAAAACACTTTCATGTACGACGACCGACCAAGACGCCAAAACAAAACAACTCGACCAGTGTCGGCACCACGAGCAATCAACCTTCATCAACGCCAGACCACCCGACATTTCGCGTCGGTCGCCAAGCCAACGACTTCCATCAGCCCGCGAGTTTAAGTGAGCACCCCCTGTGTACCTTCGGGTGCTGCAGCTCCAGGTCGGCCCACGGTCGCATCC